CACGATCCAGATCGGAGCGACAGACAGCACGGCAATAGCAAACAACCATACAAAAGAGACTCTAAATACCCTGGAGTTCGCGTCGAGGGCCAAGAACATTACCGGCCATGCAACAAGGGCCAAGGAAGCTTCCCACGCCGGCGATGAGAGTCGTGCCGAGACATTTCATAAGCGCTTTCGGACGGAGACGGAAATGAGGCGACAACCTGACGAGGAAGCCAACAAGAACGATGCCACGGAAAGCAAGTTAGGTGAGGAGGCCAAGAAGGTACGAGAGCAAATAGCGGAGAGCCATGAGGGACAGATGCTGGAGGTACAGCTGCCAAGCACCGTTCTCAAAAAGCGGGTCAATCAGAATGCTCGCTTGGTGCTCAGCTCTAAGTCAATCGGGGTCCACTCAAACGCATCACTAAGATCTCAGAGTTACTATACAAGCGTGTCGCAACTATCGTTTATAGGATCCTTGCGTTCCTCGGTTGTTACATCCAAAGGAACGGGGCCGTTCTTCACAAAAACGGCTTCACTGGTCGCACAGAACCAAGCTTTGCGAGCAGATTTAGCAGACAAGACCCGTTACATCACCTTGTTGGAGAAGCAACTTCTCCAAGCGCGGGGCCTAGCTCGTCGCGTGGGGAAGCCCACGCCTATGGCAAAGCTGTCGAGAAGAAGGTCCGAACGAATTGACGTCTCTAGGTCTCTCTAGGTAAGAAGGGAGGTCTGTAGACCGCTGTGGATATCCTATTGGTAAAGTACAGCAAGATTCTGTGCATCCGCTCATTCAGTTCTTGCTCTTAGAAACTTCTCACTCAATTTAACCAAGACGCCTTTGCCGGCTCGTTTCATGCCTTGTCCAGCTGATGCTGTAACCCAGTTCCATACCGTGCGAATACCACATGTGGCCGTAGCTGTCTGACATAGACTCAGTCCGAGCCTCTAGCGTTTTGTCGCTCAGCCTGAAACCAGTCTTTCTAGCCAAACGCGCGTGCCATAGCTGAACAGGAGATTCTACTACGAAACAACCCTCACCTAGCACATAGCACAAAATGGCACATGAAAGGTTGCATAGAAGTCTGCATCATTTGACTTGGTCAATAGAGTGGTGAATTGAATGGAATTCATTACGAAGTTTCTCCTGGGCATTTCTCACATTGATGTATTCGTCGCGTGAGATGAATGAAGTAGGAGCTATAGCGGTAGTATTGATGGAGGCAACTATATGGGTTGTGGTTGGGGCGAGCTGGGGGAAGATTCGTGGAAGAGAGAGCTGAGAGGGATGAAATCCCAAACTGTACGAAGTAGATGCGATGAAGTGGGGCGGCCAATACATTGGCGCCCGGGCGCCTAAATAAAATTGCGCTCCCGGGCGCGCCACTAAGAACCGCAGGCTGTCATTGGCCCATGCAACAGCAAACTTATAGGCACGTTCCTAGGTCCGGACACATAAGAGTGCTGTAAAGCACAAATTGTCTACAATTTGACTACAATGCACCGTTCTACCGAACCGGCGGTCGAATGCAAGGCTTGTTGCTCTTTGCTGTCCCTTTCAACGCTCTTCCAGATTTCTTTCACGCCTCTTCTCTTGTTTGCCAGTGGATTATCTCCCATCTCTTTGACCACTTGGGCTTCAATGCGTTCATCCTCCGCCCTGCTCCAATCCAAATACGCCCTGTAAGTTTGCTGTTGCATGGGCCAATGACAGTCTGCGGTTCTTAGTGGCGCGCCCGGCGCGCAATTTTATTTAGACGCCCGGGCGCCCATGTATTGGCCGCCGATGAAGTGGGGATAGTTAGCAGGCTAGGTAGGACCGTAGGACAGATAATCAGGTACCCGTTGGCGGGGCCTCTGGCAGCCAACTAAGGGGCCCCTTCCCCTTAGTTGGGCCCAAAATTCCCGGACAGCCCCAAAACTCCCGGACGCGCGCCTCGTGGGCAAATCTGGGCAAACAGCCGCCACAGCGTCCTATGAGTGTCTAAATATATTTTCTAGACATGCAAATTGTAGAGCCAATGGCCCTTATTATTTGAGGCTATTTACGATATAGAAAACACGCGTTATGCGGCGTTGAACGGCGTTGAGGCGCGCACCTATTACTGTTGAAGTGTGTAGCCCGTATTCGGCTCTTCCCAATTTATATACCGGTACTTTCTTGATCCGAATTCGGTGCCTGAGAAGCTCGGAAGTATTGTACGATCCCCTTGAAGCCTCTTCCACCCCGGAATGAGCGGTGTTGGGGTGACCGGCGGCGACGATGGCAGCGTGGCCCCCCGGCGGCGGCGATGACCCCAATATACTGTCAACCTCGTCAAAGGAGGCAGTGCATAGTGTAGAATCGAGTGAGGCTTCTTGTGTGTTCTCGTCAGGCGCGGGCTCGTTCGGTTCGCTCGTTTCGTAGGGCTCAGGTTGAGGCTTCTTTTCTGACGATATGATGATCTCAATAGACCGCTCTCTTTGGAGGTGAGGCCATTGAATTGATTGCAGAGGCCGCGCCGAGGCGCAAGCTCTATCGACGGCTTCTTCCTCGGCAGCTGTACGCTGCGTGCGTGTTGTATCGATCGTGAACTGGTCTCGTGGTCTGAGGAGTCTGTTGTAGACCTCTTCGCTGCTCTCTAGGGCAAGGAATCCCTCGCTCTTCCCGACGAAGTCAAGCCATTGTTTGATAGTCAGTCTCTTCATCTTTCCGTTCACCAGCTGCACCTTGTTTTTACGGTATTCGTCAAGGAGTTGCTGTCGCTCGCGCCGTATAATGCCACGCATCGAGAGGAGCTGTTGGCGTTGACTTTTCTCTTCTTCGAGCCGAAGCGTGCGTTCACGAGATTTACGGATATCTTCTAGGCTGACGCTAGTGTAGAAAGTGCCCTCGGCAGCCTTGACGGCCTTGCCGCGCCTCGGGCGGCTGCTTATCTTCTCGATGCGTTGTAGGCGGTCTTTATAGCACTTGGCCAGTGTAGAGCTAAGAAGAGATGCCTCTGTAACGGCCTGGGAGACGTTGGAAAGCCTGCCACGCGTTGGAGAGCTTAGAATCTCGTGATAACGCGTTCGAAGGTCTTGTACAGTGTCGGCAGCTTGTTGGAAGCGTGTTTCCTTAGGGAGGAGCGATGCGAACGCTGGGTTAACGGCCTGTGATGCCTTCAGCTGCTCGGCCACGAGCTTCTTCATTGCCGGCTGCTCTGTGGGAGGGTAGATGCCCGTTTTTTTCGAAGCCCCCTATGATATAACACGCTGCGAAGCCCTCTTTGAACCCTTCCCAGAAAGACTTTAGGAAATCGTGCCTCGTGAAGTTCAGCTCCCCCTGACTCGATGAACTTATGTAGGATTTTCTGCTGTGCGTGCTTAAGAGGCTGGAAAACGCCTACATCGAGCGGCTGAAGGATATGCGTTGAATGCGGAGGGAACACCGCGACGATGATGTCAAATTTGATGCAATACTGTATGAAATCGAGGCCTGTATGCCCTGTGAAGCCGTCGATGACGAGAAGACGATGAATTCGCTCGTTTTCCGGGATAAGGCGTGGCTCTGCCTCGAGGAAGGGATATTCGGGCTCTCTGCACCACTCATCTACACCAAACCACTCCTCGAGGGACTTTCCGGTGCGTTGGGCACGGGCAGACCGTTTCCAAGACCATACATTAAACTGGTGTATCCAATCAAACGTTATCTCGCTGTTGCTGAAGCCTGTGTCGGATCGTGCGAATCGTATATCGTCGGGGGCGTTGATCTCGGCCCAAGACTCACAAGGGAAGGTCTTGAACGCCAGCCAAGGCGGGATCGTGTCCCCAACCGCGTTGGCAGCGGCAATAAGCGTACAAGACTCGCGATTCCCTGGGTCAGAGACTTGAGGGCGTTGATGACGCGTTGTACGCACTATAACTACGTGAATGCGTTCTCGTAGACTTCAATACGGATGCCGCACTCGTCTTCGTTCCAGACCTCTGAGGGGCCGATTCCATACGAGCTGATGATCTCCTTGAGCCTCGAGAAGAACTTCTCGACGTATGACACATCGTTGGCCTCAAATACCTTCCTGGACTTCTCTACGGCCTTTAAATATGTGGTTCGAAGCTCTGGGTGATCCTGAAGCCAACGACGATACCAGTTTTTGCCTGGTGGCTTCGCATTAGGTTACGGCGCTGAAGGAGCGTTAGAGCGGCCGATTCGACCTGTATCTTGCTCGCTGGGAAGCCAGAGCGTTGTAGCCATGTCACATAGGCGGCGATGGCATCGTCTTCGTCGTCTGAGAGCAGCCTTGGCCGGCCACGGCTTCGAACGCGACCCTGAAGCCATCGTGGATGCCGCTTGACGCCGTCGTGTACCGTAGAGCTCGGTACGCCGAAGATCTGAGCCGCCTGCCGTATTGTGACTGTGTTGGGGAGCGCGCGGCGCGTCTGACGGCGCCGCCCTTGTGCGATGGCATCGCGAGAGTCTATAACTAGCTCCACAGCCCTTGACGTGGCCGTCGGTTCAAGCCCGACGTATTGAGACATTGAAACACGTGCTGCGCATCACGCGTTCTTGTGTTTTGGTGGGAATGCGCACTAATTACGACGCAGCTACGATGGCGGGGCTGTAGGCGCGCGTCCGGGAGTTTTGGGGCTGTCCGGGAATTTTGGGCCCAATTAAGGGGAAGGGGCCCCTTAGTTGGCTGCCAGAGGCCCCGCCAACGGGTAGTCACGGAGACGTGATGGCTGCCGGTGATGACATTTCGAGACTCCCTTCATCCTCAGCCCACGATAAGAGACGAAGGAAGTCGACGACCTGGTTCAACATGTCCAATGCAAATACGACAAAGAGTTTTAATTTTATTGATGGATATTGTCCTCATATCGCACAGACCGGTTCACACTCTTCTGAATGACCATCCGGCCAGGTACAGGAGAGTCTGCTAGTTCGGCCTCGATCTTGCCAGGTTTCGATAACTGCTCGAGTCGATAACTGTATTCATTTCGGCGACTTCCTCCTGTACCAGGTCCGCTTGAGCCGATGTTGGTCAAGTTCCGTACGTTTACGCCCATTCCAGTATGGAAACTCTTGAGGAAGGGCATCAAAGCAATAAGTAGCGCTGATATGAGAGAGTACCCCAAGGCAATCTGCTGCCAGACCAGCGGGGATACAACGCGCACCGCAGGATCGGAGCTCGAGAGGAATGAAGAGACTGCCGAGGTATGGGTTCCCATGAAAACCGGACAGCTATGAGAATGTAAGCGAAGGTCCATTTAACAAAAGCAATCGGCCACGCCTACATGAATCTGAGACCGAGAAGAATGATCAGGGTCAGCTTGAGCTTTCTGCGCATTTGCAAAGACCAAATGATGGAACAGAACAGGCCAAATATGCAGATTTCCGTACCGCCAGGGTGGCAAACCACTCAATCAACTCAACCAAAGAGTCAAATTGAGTAGATTGACGGCTTACATCAGCGAACCTCTCGTTGAGTTGAGCAATCCAAGCCCTCGTTGAATTGATTGCGTTGATTGATGGAGTTGATGCCCTACCCTACCTATTAGTAAGCTACTAAGGTCCTCAACACCATCAACTTCTCGTCCTTCGTGGGGCACCTCTTCGGGAAGACATCGTCATCGACTGAAGCATCAATAATCCCCTGGTAGTCGGGTATTAGCCCTGCCTTCAGCCAAGACCGAATTGCCTGGCCTGCATTGATCGTGTTAGCCTGAAGCCGGCTGCGTAGTCGTGTGACCATTAGCCCAGCAAATGAGAACGCCCTCTCGCACTCTGCTGACATTGGCGGTATAGATAGCATATCAAAGGCCATTCGAGCAAGTCTGGGATACGTTGACTCTTTGAGTTGCCAGTATTGGAACGGATCCGTGATGTCTCCGTCATCTGCGCCGATATCAACAGTCCAGCGATCGAATTCATCGGCAGTAGGTGGCCCACGACGGGTTGTGGCCGTCTGACCAGCTTGTAGCCGGTGCCTCAGTCGGAACTGTTGGAACTCGTTCAAGTCGTCAACCTTTCGACGTTTAACCATCGGAATAGCCTCGTCATCGCTGAGAATTAATGACTTATAGTCGCGTTCCCAGATGCCCCGAACAATCCGTCGTGCCTCAAGGACCCATTCAGGTCGATGAGCCCAAGCCTCCTCAAACCATTGCAGTCGCAAGGCGGGATGGAGAGCGACTGCAGCATAATATACCGGGCACTCAACCAACTTGATATAGTATTTCTCCAACTTCTTCCACCCCAATTCGACGTTTATCGCGAAATGCTCGGAATCAGGCACATCCTTGGCGAATTCCTTTGCCTCTTCCAATCGTTCAAGGAGATATTCGAATGCTTGGATAATATCCCATGCTGTTCCGTATGCCACGAGGTTGCCGCCCTTACGCACCCGAATCTGGGCATCTCCTCGAGGGCCTTGATGGCATTTTCGAAGTGCTTAAGAATATTCCGAAAGTGGCTGATCACTGTCCAGTCGTTACCGGTCAGCAGGTCAGAATCTCGGAGGCATGCAGGCATGTCTTTCTTCTTTGACCTGCTTCGGGTATATTCGAACTGTTCCAATGCGACGAGGTCGTCAAGAAAGTCGTGCAGTAGAAGGGCTCGATCCATCATCTTATAATGGGACAACCATCGTGTCATGTTATCCGTTAGAACGTCAACTGGTTTCTTCGTACTGTCCCTCTTGCGTTGTAGATCCCGAAGCATGTACGTTAACCTATCCGATTGATGAATCCAGTGGACAAGGTTGTGGAGCTTGCCAATAGGCCCCCTCTTCCGCCAGAGATCATGTCGAGCAAGGTCCAGGTCGAGTCGCTCTTCTGATTTGAAGACTTCATTATCTTTGCCAAAGAGCAGCGCTTTGGCCACGAGATTGATGATATGCCCAAAGCAGCGGACCCGTCTCTGCTTCCTTCAAAATTAAAAACGTGTCCCAGTGCTGCTACCGCCGTATCGTTATTCTTCGCATTGTCAAGCGTGAAATACCCGATCTTGTCTTGAATCTCGAATGATTCGATCACTTCCGCCACCTGCGACGCTATATTCTCGCCAGTATGAGACTCTCGGAGTTCAGGGAGCCCAAGGATGATCTTCTGTGGCCGCTTTTCCTTAGAGAGATAGAACGCAGCAATCCCATTAAGCGCATAGCGATTGGGCGATCTCCAGCCGTCAAACGCAAGGTGTATCTGCCCGGGGCGCTCCCTCAGTTCCTTTATCACAATATGCTTGTACTGGTGGTATTCTTGGAAAAGCTTCGTTCGAATAGTCGAGTGTGTCATGTGGGCTTGAGTCAGGGCGATCGAGGGATTGAGGTATTCGAGAAGACGCCGGAATCGAGGGGCTTCAACTGCGCGGAAGGCAACATTCGACTCGGTGATCCAAGCAAGCAAGAGAGATTGGAAGACATCTTTATCGAATTGGTTTTTTAGCTTGTTAATGAATGCTTGCTCCTTCTGGTCATTGGCATCGAGGTTGAAGAATTGGGCAATAGAACGCTTGTTGGTTGTAGAACCCTTCGGTAACCGTCTACCTGATGGGTCAATAACATTGTGAGCATCATGTAGATGGCGCTCAATGTTTAGGGTCCCTTTGCCGCGAAGCTCACGGGTCCCTTCGGCGATTTCTTCGGTAAACACCGCTCACAGACCCAGAGGCGATTATCTACGTTAGCTTGATGTTCAATGTCGAACCCAAAGCTCCAGATCCACGATTTGAGCTTGCCGGCGCGTTGAGACTTGGTATAGCCGCGGAAGTGATGCCAGGGAAGGCATCCCACTCGAGATGGGGAACGGGGCCTGAGTCGCCTGAATCGCCTGATGGCGGCAAGGGAGTAGAAGAAGGCTCAGGAGATTCGCTCATTGCATATAGGAATGTTTAGATCAGCCAAGGCGTTGTGGAAGAATCGAGAAGTGTAAGTGGAACTGAGGCGAGAGATTGAACTTTGTTGTGAAGCGCGTCGATGCGCGCAGCGCGTCGACTCTTCCAACGGAACAGGGGGCCCTGTTCCCCGAAGAGGAGAGCAGGCTTACCTACAACGGGCCTGAGTAACCTGTAAGGTTAGTGGTAGCTATATACCCAATCCGTACCTACATTTCGCCTTGGCCACCTACCCTACAGGATCCCTGACCGTCAACGGCAATCTCATCAATCCATCAATCAACGGGAGCATGAATTGAATTGACAAGCTTATTCAGCAGACACTCGATTGAGTTGATTGAGTTGACGGTTGCTCAACTATATTGAGCAACCGTTGCTGGGATTGAGTGGTTTGCCACCCTGCGTACCGCCGTCTACCAGTGACACTGCTGTCCATCGCCATACCTGTGCAACGGGGTTGGGTCAGCAATGCTAATGATTTTCGACGTGCAGAGACAACCGACCTGGCCGTCACAGCCCTCGTAGCTCTGCGGCACGAGAAGGCTACCGGCGGAGCAGCCCACACTGATGGCGAGAAGCGATGCCGAAGCACCCAGCCCAACGACGACGCGAATCACGATGCAAAGTCTGCGAACCGTCTTCATTTTTCCCGCGAGGAGTCGCTCCGTGGCCAAGAGCACGGCAAATTTGGCCATGTACAAGACGCAGATGAACAGGGCTTCCGATGCAAGAAATATCTGACACGGCACGGGCAATCAGCAAGAAAACCGCAAGACATGCGACAGGTTTTGCACTTACCCTGCCAGTCCCTTCCCCCACCAGCGCCTCGGATGATCCCAGGCCGAGAGACATGCCCGCGAAGACGGCAGCGTACTGCGCAACGCCCAAGACCACTGCTGCGATGCTGGCATAGTCATCGCGCCCGAGCATGCGCTTCCTGACGTACAACCGCGCGCTGAAGGTCAAGAGCACGAAAATGAGACTCAATATGGCCGCTATCCAGAGCAGTCCTCGGTGATCGTCGGGCGATATTGGTGCGAAGGCCGGTGATGGTGCCGCCATGTTGGGTGGGAGATGAAGAGACGAGTGCGATGCGACTTGACGTTTCGAGCTTCCATGCAAGCTACTCTGCAGATGCTGTATATAAAGTAATGCACCGAAAACAACGGTGCGCGGGACCCTACTCAGGCGAGCCGCCTATCAAATGCTGTCGAGGACTCGAGACCGACATCCCTTAAGGGGGTTGACGTGGGGAGGCTGTTGGTTGTTTCAGGTTGAGTGAAGGAAGCCCAAAGTCAAACCAAAACGCCACCCGTCGAGTCGAGGCCTCAGGGGAGCCGGCCACCGAAGCCACTTTTCAAATACATTTACTCACTGGCCGCCTCGGTCCATTCCCTTTCGTTCGCCTGACATTCGATTTTAATTTCACCATGGGTAACGTTCGGCGAACATTCGATATCCTCGACGACGACGACGAAGTCGTTCGAAATGACCTCGTCAAGCATGGCAACGACGACGACCAGAGCGACATGGCGCGAATGGGCAAGATCCAAGAGATGCGAGTAAGTCATCCGGCTGCTGCATGGAAATTTTCCGTTACACGTATGCTGACGACGCTCGCGCCCGTAGCGAAACTTCAACTCACTCACCGTGTTTGGCTTCAGCGCCATTATGATGTGCTCGTGGGAATCTCTTCTAAGGTATCCATCCCGTCGTACCGCTGGAAATCCCAACTTCTCATTGCTGACATTCTTGCCTCAGTACTGCGTCCATCGCACTCGCCAACGGGGGATATGCAGGTTTGATCTACACCTGGTTGATCGCCTGGCTTGGCTTCGTTGCTGTGTATGCTTCAATGGCAGAGATGGCCTCCATGGCGCCTACCACAGGAGGTAAGTTGTCGCGGCGAGAAGCTCCATGGCCCCCAAGTTCTGTGCTAAAACAGCGTTCCAGGTCAATACCACTGGGTCAGCGAATTCGCACCCGCGAGATATCAAGGCTTCCTCAGCTTCACCGTTGGTATGTCGAGGGATAACGGAAAGTTGCCGACGCAGAAATCGAGGGACTGACTCTTTTCTAGGCTGGTTGGGAGTCATGGGCTGGCAAACGCTTGTTACATCCATCGCCTTCCAAGCGGGAACCGAGATCCAAGGCCTGTTAGTACTCAACTACGACTCTTACGTTTTTGAACGTTGGCACGGCACGCTTTTGGTTATCCTTGTTATTCTTTTCTCGGCCGCATTCAACACTCTGCTCGCGACACGCCTTCACCTCGTCGAGGGAACCATTCTCATTGTCCACGTGTTCGGCTTCTTTTGCATCCTGGTGCCGCTGTGGGTTCTCTCGCCGAGAACGTCTTCGAGAGAGGTGTGGACGACATTCCACGACCCTGGCTGGGGCAGCACTGGGCTCTCGACCTTGATTGGTATCGTTGCCAGCGTTTTACCGCTGCTTGGCGCCGATGCTTCTGGTAAGACACATGTTTCGACCATGTTACTACATGTACTGAATCCGACGTCGCGCAGTGCACATGGCGGAAGAGGTTCAAGACGCAGCTCGCACGTTGCCGAGGAGTATGTTGTGGTCCATAAACATCAACGGGCTCATGGGCTGGCTTACAGCAATCACCTTTTGCTACTGCATTGGTGACCTTGACACAGGTAAGACTCTGCTGCCCCAATGCTCAACACTGCACCGTTGCTCATATTCCGCCATCCAGTTCTGAAAACACCCACGGGATATCCGTTTATCCAGGTATTCTACAACGCCACCCAGTCGCTTCCCGCAACCAATGCCATGGCGGCCATCATTATCCTGATGGCCACATTCTCCTGTGTGACAATTATGGCCTCGGCTTCCAGACAAATGTTCGCCTTCGCGCGCGATGAGGGACTCCCATTCTCCGCCTGGCTTTCACAGGTAAGTACTGCAAGTCCGCGGCAGGTCTTGTCCCATCATTAATATGAAGATAGGTCCATCCTAGCCTAGATGTTCCTTTTAATTCCGTCCTGGTGTCTGTGGCCATCTCGGTTCTTCTCTCATTCATCAATATTGGCAGCACGGTCGCCTTCAACAGCCTGGTATCGCTTGGCTCTGGCACATTGATGGTCTCATATGTCGTCTGCATCGGTTGTTTTATCGGCCACAGACTATCCAAAGAGCCCATGTTGCCCACGAAATTCACTCTCGGAGCCATGGGATTATCAGTCAATATCTTCGCGATTTGTTTCCTGGCCATAGTCTTCGTCGTAGCCTTCTTCCCCGCTGCTCCGCTGCCTCAGCTGGACGCAAAGTCGATGAATTGGTCTTCGGTGATATTCACCGCGGTACTCGTGTGGAGTATGGTATATTATTTTGTCTGGGGCCGACATGTGTACCAAGGGCCGGTGAGATATGTGAAGAAAGTAGTCGACTTGCCGCGAGCGCGGGCGTCGGGTTATAGATAGAGTGTGGGAATTGTAGTAATCCATTGTACCCATCTAGATAGGTCACGTGCGCTCTCACGTGTGCAGTTGAGGATAGCGGAGGACACATAGCTAGCTCCGTGCCCTTTGCCCCCTCTTCCCCCTTTCTAGAACAGACATCAACGATTACACATACCATTGCGATTTGCACGCAGGCCTGTGTAGAGACCTACCGACATAGAGTGTAATAAAATACTTCGTCACGCCTTGCACTTTAGACCAGTGGTGCAAGGCATACAATCAGCCGAAGGCTGCAAGTCTGCTGTCAACGGTAAGGCAGGCCTGAAAATTCAAGAATCTACAGTCATGCATTCATTGCGTCATCTACGTCTTGGTAGCATCAAGTGGAGTTACGTAGCCCTAGCCGTTCTTATACGGATTCTGAGTGAGAACCTGCCAACTCCTAAATCTTTGGTCCCTCATCTTCATCTTGATACCCTCCGGGGGGGATGTGTATGTCAGATGATTGCGGTCGAACGGGGCATCGAGCATCAACCCCTGTAGCGTTTTTACACGCGAGACGGCCACATAACTCAAACCTGTCTGAAAGTCACGGCAGGACAGATCTGTCACGATCCTGTCTTCGGTGATGCTCTGCGACTTATGAACCGTAATGGCGTAGCATACGACCAGGGGAAACTGCGTGCGAGTGCAGAGTGTTGCTCCAACGAGGAAATCCCTTTTTACTGCCACAATCGGGACAATCTTCCTACCATCCGCGGTGGTCAGGAATGCCGGTCCGGTATATTTGTCAAACTCCATCATGATTACACACGGTTGGTCTCGGATGGGATCAGCGCCAGGTGCCCAGCCAATGTCGTGCACTGTGCCGCGAGCGCCGTTGCAGAGGCCAACTTGTTGCCAGAGGTTGCACGTCAGCATTAAGCGGGCACCAATGCATACAGGGACCTGTTTCGCAAGGTTGCCCGCCTTGTCGTCCGGAGCAGCAGCCGCGCCGGGGCCAACATTTGTAGCGATGACCTGAATGACTGGTCGGTTGAGGCGGTCAAGGTGGTAATGGTTATATTCGTTCACCCGGTCTTTCGTGGCATATACCCGTAAGGCGTTGGCGAACCTGGCGACCTCCTGATCGTCTAGCTTTGCCTGCACGCGGCCGGAGAGAAGTTTCCAGGACTCGTGGGATAGTAGGAGCAGCCGCAGTTCTCCGAGAGCCTTGCGAAAGGACGCCTGATCATCGCCGCACTGCCGCTGAACAACGCTCAGGAAGACGGTCTTATCGAAGCGCATATAAGCGTTCCTTCCCTTGATCTCCACTCCCTGCACCTCTTTGTCGTAGTACAGCGGTTTCTGTAGAACAGGGGGAAGCTGGAAGAAGTCGCCGACCAAAAGGATATTGAGTCCGCCAAAGAACTCCTCGTTCCGATGCGGAAATGCCTCACGGAGACGGTTGTCGATCCAGGATAGCATACGCAGTCCCAGCATACTCTTCTCGTCAATGATTAGGTACTGAATATCCTTCAGCTTCTTCTGGAGCTGGGCCTTGTCGATGGCGGAGAGCGGCCTGAAGTCCTTGTTGATCGGGAGGTGAAGCAGCGAGTGCAAAGTAGTGCCTGATATCTGGTTCCCTGCGACACCCGTCGGTGCGGCACGCCAGACAGGTGTCACTCTCCCGTGTAGCGGCCTGGAGGTGCGCCGAGAGCAGGTTGATGAGATATGACTTGCCTGTGCCACCGCCACCATCGACATGGAGTAACAACTGGGAACGGTCTTGGGCGAGAAAGTGGCCCATCACCGTGTCATACACGATGCGCTGCTCCGGATTCAGGGCATCGCGTGCTTCCAGAGGCTGGTGCTCCACATCAAGGGGAAAGGAGCTTTCCGCCTTGCGTTGCTCCCAGTAGTTGCCGCTGAGAATATCCTCGTTGGTATATCGTCCCACGTGAGGAGCCCAGTCATAATTCACGTCGATATTTCGCCGGCCAAGTACGTCGATGTCCTCTTCCTCCAGCGGCCGGTCTGGCAGCATGCGGGCGAGCTCATGCCAGTCCTCCTCTGCGATGGGCTCGTCATGGACCTCCTGCTCAAACTCATCGTCCTCCGCCTGGAGCTCGTTTGTTCCCACCTCCCCGTAATGGTCGTCCTCATGGAAATGGTGTCGCTGCCGACAACACCGGTACGCCGCAACAAAGGACTCAAACCGCTGCCCGTCCACAGCAAGCAACTCCTCCGGAGCGCGATGCGGATGGGCCATCATCAACTTGACGCGGCAGAAGTCATGAAACTGGGTTGAGGTTTCCACTGGCCTATACCGAGGACAGTAGGACAGAACCCTCTTCTTCGCGTTCGCACCGAGTCTCCTCCATGTCTTGAGATTGTACGACTGCAGGTACTCGAGATAAGTAATACTCTCATGCTGGTCATTTCTCTGCAGATATTTCCGGTAGCTGCCGACAGCCTCACTGACATCATCATCGACGCGGTACGACCGCGCATGCTGCTCAACGGGCGGCAGTCGACGTACACAACCACCCGAGTCCCTTCCTGCAGAGGGATATTGAGTAGCAAGTGGGAGATTTCCTGCGCTGAATAATCTCTCTCCGCAATCAGCTTGTTCATGAGGCGAGAGGAGAAGGACAACAGAGGTTGGTGGTGTGCTGTATGCGGCAAAATCTGATTCGCAAGCCTGCAGTAAGGCTCTGTCTTCTTCTCCGATTTGCTGCAATACTTGGCAGCGTATGTAATGACTGCTTGCAAGCTGGTGCATGGAGATATGTCAATGTTGGCCAACCATCCCAGAATGATGGCAGGATTGAAATGGTTCATGAGGCTGTCGTTGCGGGCCGCCTCGAAGATGTAGTACGACCTGCCTTCCTTCCTGATGACCGCGGCCAGCTCTCTCAAGGCACGGGGGAAGTCGAAACGACACTCCCTTTCCGGATTCGCCACGTTGGCCGCCTCAATGTCGCCAGCAGCTCCTTCCATGTCCCTCGCGAGGTCACCGCTTCCTTTCTGACTCGCAAGCAGTACGTGGTATTGCATCTGTGGCGCTGGCAGCGGTTGACGATTTGCGAGAGCCGCAGGAATGTCATCTCCACGCCCAGCGGATCCACGCTCAGCGGATTGCCCTCCCCCTGAGGCACAGTCCTACGGGGCTCCGGGTTCACGGCCGTGACGTGGAAGCCCCATACGCGTGCAAACATGTCACGAGCAGCTTCGTCCTCCATGTCGGCGGCTGGGCCCTCCTGCATCCAGTACAGACCGTGGTTGTGCGGACTGCCACGGCCTTGCCATTCATATCGATCCCAGTAATCCGTGACGTTGAACTTTTTCCGCAACACGATATCTCGAAAGAAGCAGTATCGGCGGTAGAAGTGGAAAGCAGCAATGTGAGGGTTCTGACGCAATAAGTACCGCGACAATGCCATCCTTTCCGGCTCGGACGCGCGCAGCCATTCTCCATATCGGGGCATGTGTTGGTAGAGGCTCCGCCAGTGCAAATCGGCTGGGCTAAATGTGATAAATGCGCCAGGACAGCCCAGGCTGTACGCATACGCCTCGAGGTCCTGCCTCTTTCTGTTCCAAAAGGGGCGCGTACCGCGAATCGACACCGCATGCCTTGTGATTGAGTTTATCAGCGCCTGCGCCTCGGGATCCTCGCTGTGTTCGAGCGCCTGAATAAGCTGCTCTCGCGTGAGCGCTTCACGGTGCCATCATGTTGCTTCACGAAGAACTTCGACCGCGCACGTGCTTGGGACCGCATCAGGGTATTGAATGCGACAAAACGGAATGTTGGGTGCCGCGCAAAACGCCCGTCGTGCCACCGCATCGCGTGCTCGATGTAATCCTTGTAATCTATCGACCGCAAGCGAGGCTCGACAAAGTCGGCTCTCCCGTCTGGGAAGAGGCATGGGAATGCCAATGAGAGCAGGGCATGAGAGCGATTGAACTCATTGATCGGCGTATGCCGTATATTCGGGAGCCGCAGCTGCTGGTGCCGCGCCCGCTCTTGGGAGCCTGTGGCAAGAGGAAGACTTGCCTCCGGTTCTGGCTCGCCCACGAGAATAGACCGCAGAGCATCGAGCTCCGTGTCCTTGGCCAACAGGTCCGGTACCGCAGCCGCGTCCTCTAGGTCAGGCTCCGCCTCCTGATCTTCCTCCTCCGGTCTTACATCGGCAGCCTCCACCTGGCTTTGGGGAATGGCGTCCACCACATTGCCGTCCTCGGGCAGTTGGCTCAGTCGCTCGTTGTCGATGACGATGCATCGGTATCCAGGATGGTGATGGCGGAGGTAGTCAAGCCATATCATAACCGCCTGGCGGCGCACACGGAACTGACGGGTAAATTGCCGGCTTAGATTGGCGTGTGATGACGTGTTGGCAGGACGCAGCAACACCGTGTTTAACTCCCGTGGCAGAAGTGGGAGCTGGTTGTACACAAGCCAACCTCACGAAGAAAGTGAACGACATGCCCCGATACTTGTACTGCTGCCCTCGCACCAGCATGATGTTCACATGGACGTGGACGCGAGCGATCAATGACTCTTCTGTAGGCGTGAGCTCAGGCAATCGTGTCGGTACGGGACCAAAGTCAAGTTGATTTTCGGCAGAGAAGAAATAAGGCTCGTCAGAGCCGCGCTTCTCATCCTTTCGATAGCAACGCGAGCAAATGCCGTCATAATCAATTCCCATCTGAAACCAACACTCGCGACATCGGCTGCAGTATTCCATTTGATCATTGTCAAGTTTGGTCCAAAACTCGCGCAGGGCGGCCCTATCGCGGTCGGTCAAGGCGCAAGCATCGAGGTCGCCATTCCACACCGGATCTTGCGCATGGAAGACTGCCAATTCTTCCGGTGGAATCATCACTGGACTCCGAAGACGTCGTTGCGGTCTCGACGATCGTGTTTCTCTGCGAGATTTTCTTGGCCGCCCTCCTGTACCCGGGGCGGGACCGCGGCGACCGCGTCGTGGCTGTGCGGACGGCTCCAACGGCCGGCGGCAAAGAGGGCTTCTATCCGCAGAATCATCATCTCTCTCACCGTTCTCGGCTTCCTCCCCTGGTTCAGAGTCCGGCTCGACCCCTAATTGCTCGAGGTACCTGCGTGGTCGAGCGGGCGAAAGCAGCACGTTCACGTAGTCCTCAGCATCGATGTCGGACTCCGAGAACTGGCCTCTGTCGTCTCCTTCCCTCGATAACATACCTCCGATTTGAATGTCACCTGTCCGTAGTTGATCTTGACTCTGACCCGCATCTGCGTTCCCTCTTTAGCCTGAGACCCTACTGCAAATCTCAGCACAAGCATAAATACCTTCTGCAGCAGTCTCCGATTGACAGACACCCAGTTGAGATATTGTGGGCGTCAATGAGACGGTTTCCCCAGCACGGCGTCGTGAACGATGGTCACGCTTGATAGCAGCCAGCTTGACCCTCACCCCAGCAGTGGAAGGGTTATCTTGCGAATCCTTCCCCCCTTTGCGGTATCTAGTTGCCAAGTAAGCGTGATCCACACTGGTTGTGCTGCTTCGGATAGTAGTGGGATCAGAGAGTGAGACGATCGGATGGATCGTTCGCTGAACGGGAGGTGAGGGAGCCAGTGCCCGGAAGAGCCCTGAACTTGGTTGGGTCGGCGGCAGTGGTGTCCCCAGCACTACACGCGGTTGGCTCATCGAGTCCTCGGAAGAAAACCTCACTGTATGACGTTCCTGGAAACTTTCAGATGATGTAGGCTGGGCTTCAGGTATCTTTTGCTCGGGTTGTAAGCGAGCATCTCGGTCTGTTCTTTTCGCAGCAGGCCCGTCAGCGGAGGAAGGACGGACCGCGACCTCCCTCAAAGTCTGGGTTATGCGTCTGGACCTGGAGTACTTCAATTGATCAGCATTGAACATCTTGTGGAGCGCGAGATAAAGCCAACATGATAGGCGCGCTCATTGCGGCAGCCCAGGCAGCTCTTGGTGTGCCCAGCCGACTTTCTTCTGCCGAGGAAGTCTTGCGCTGGTTTCTCCTCGCCACAGCGAATGCATACGATGGAAACCACGCCACCTTGAGACCCTCGATGAGGCATAGGGTTCACTGCGGTTGAAAGCAGCTGCGTACGATGATGATGATGTTTATTTCGCCATTGACGATAGTCAGAGGCACTGCGTCAGACTCGCTAAGCCTATTCTAGAGTTGTCCAATACTCGGTTCCGAGCCCAAGGAATTCGTCCCGATCTAATGCCTAAATTTCTCTTACATCCTTCAATCCGTCTCTTGCTCACTTGACCTGTCCCTTTCCAATTCTGGAGCCTGTCTGATGAGGTACAGACCACTCTCCTCCGCCGCATTTGACGAAGAGTCCACCTGCCTTTAGCCGTCCGGTGTAGCTAACCTACCAGCTGTGGGGCAACCACAGGTATAGGTAGAGGGTTTGTGCTGAAAAGAAAAGGTTAAGACAGAGGATGTATGTTAGTAAGGTGTCGGTCGTAACTTGGCGAGTTCCCGGCGATACACCGGGCACCCAGGATCTGTAGCTTTGTGTGCTCCTTTTCCACCGCACGCTGCACACTTAAAAACGTCGGAGGTGCAGGTCGACGCAGAATGGCCCGGTTGGCCGCACTGTCCACAGATCGGAGTTGGCGCCTTGCAGCGATAATGCAAGTGTCCGTAGAGGTGGCAGCGGTAGCATCTCGCTGGTTGAAGTCCTGAACGAATGGTCGCGTGTATGCACACTCGCCATTCGCCATCTCAACCGTTCGTTTGGCAAGCAACCTGTCCACCTCCTCTTTCTTATCCAGATGTACCACCAGAGAGCGGTACTCCTTGTCGACAGACGCTGTCCCGAGCCATCGCATCTTGTGCACTTTCACCCCGTTCATCCGCCCAAAGACGGCGCATCCGATATCATCCGTCGCAACCCCACAATGGGCTCTATCAACCCGTAGAGGGTACCACTGCTCCCCATATAGCGTTCCCTTGTCGAAGTGTGTCCTCATCCAGGTGTCGTTCTGTCGTACTTTATCGACGTCCGACTCTCGAAAGAGAAGCCGAAAACGCCCGTTTCCCTTAGAATTGACGCCCAGACAGGTCACACCCAACTTCTCAAGGGCAGCGTTCGCGCGCCGACGAATAGTCCCGGCATTGCCGTCCTTCACATCGCTGTCTAGGACCCGACTCACGTCCAACCCAATGCCTGGCAGTGGTCCTGGGAACGGGAGGGTGGTGGCGAAGGTGGCAGGTGCTGTTGCTGTTGCTGATGAGGTGCACTTGGAGTGGCGGACTCAGAGGGCCAGCGACGCGTGGGAAGAGTTCGTTTCGAATGAACTCTTCCAGAGACTCGACGCGTTTCTCCGCCCTTTCGGCCCGCTCCTCGACGCGTTGCAGGAGAGCTTCGATTCGTGCCAATGAATCCTCGTTTGCACTGGGGTCGGCGTTCGTCGATTTCGCTTTCGGGACGGCGGATTTCTTTCGTGATGGGCGCGGTTCTGGGTCGAATTGCAGTGTCGGTTTCAGAGGGCGACCGCGGGTGCTGGTCCTTGTCACGTCGGCCGCGCTTGTCGGATTGGCCATAATGATGCTACAGGCCACATTGTCGTTCGTACCGTCATCCTCGTCATCGAGCAACTCGAATTGGTTCGAGTTGCGCTTGGTGCTGTTCTTGCTCTTCCGCGGCATTACGATGGTACACACTTTTTTTTTTTTTTTTTTTAACTACTCGTCCCACAGACCCACGTAAAGTGGGTCCTCACCACCTGTCTGTGTCAACCACCTGGCTGTGTCACTTGACGGCTTCAACGCCAACTTAATTTAATAATAAAACGGCAAAAAAAGTTAAAAATTGATGCATACGATAATTGAATACTGGCCGCAATAGTCTACCTATTTTTGACTTTTGTAGCTTATAAAGCTGATCGTTGGGCTTCCTTTTCGGCTTTCTTAGCCGCCCGGGCTGCCCGTCGCTCCTAGGGGTGATAGACGAAGGTGAAGATTTTGAAGATTTTGAATGAAGGATGAATCAAATGAATTGAATTTTTTGGATCTTGATTCAAAATCTTCAAGCTCCAATTTTCGCGATTCAAGTTGGGTTTGGGCCAATTCAGGCCATTCATGAATGGTTTGAAGGGATCCCCTAAACGAAGTGAATTTGGTGTGTACCTGAGCGATTGCAAAGATGCCTCAAAAACGCCAATAAGTAGTATATAGTTTTAAGTTATAGCCTTCTAAGAAGTCGATAATCCCGAATACTACAAAATTAACTTACATAAATACTGATCCGCCTGTCCTAGGCAAATCGACTGAAAATAAGCACTTTCAAAGCTCTGCCGAATCCTCAAAATACGTCGGTACAACGCGTTCGAATCCGCCACTGTACACGGCACTCTTAGAGCCCCAATCCTCCGAAGCCTCCATTGTATCTAGACAGGGGTTGATATCGCAGACTTATCGGCTTGGGATGCAGGAGGTTTGGGGGGGTACAGTGGGAGCCTCGGTGGGAGGAAGAGGTTGAGGAGGATTCTCGCCTGAACACAGATTAGCATATACCTACATATATAATGAGGGTATATCCATACATACCATCTTCCAGCTTGCCCGGAATGTGGTCTGGTCTCCAAATAATACTATTGGCAAAGGGCAGGATGTCATACTCCATGGCCGCCTTGATCAACGCCTGATCGATCTTATCTTCCTGAGTATAAGCACTCCGTAAAAGTGTTAGTACTCGCACCGTATCTGCCTTCAAGGCGTGACGGCGGATACCGAATTCGTCTCTACAACCGCTGAAGAGGCGTTCCACGTCAACTTCAGAGCCAGAGACAGAGAGAAGATCACGCGCCGCCGCAGCCAAAAGTGGCCACTCGACCTTGTGTTCTTTCCACCACTTCAGTAGGAAGTCTGGAGACTTTGCAATAGACTCGTCGAACTCTATTCGAGGAGCTGCAAGCCACCGTTCAAGCTCCGAAATAGGGATCGCCGCGCCCGTCTCCGCCTCCTCGCCTTCTTCATTTGGATGGCTCTCCATTGCGCAATGGAGACTCCTTGAGGACGCTCAGCTGGTCTGGATTGGCTCATAGTTGAGTTTGTGGCATTCAATGCTGCTAGCTCCGGCCACTCCGTTTTGAAATACTTCTTGACTTTAGCCATAATCTCAGAGTATTGATCCGGTATCATCATTTCCAATTGGTGAGTTTTATAACGCGGATCCAGGATGTGAGCTGCGAATAGCATCATTTGATCGTCAAGCTTCTTCATATAAGTAACGTGTTTTGCTTTGCCCTTCGAGAAGGCGTCTCGAATGGACATATCAAGGTCTGTAAAGTCGCCAACTCCTTC